TGCAGGGAACACCAAGTTGCTGTGTAGTGGACTTCTAGTCCAGGGCTTCTCCTGTCTCCAGGCTGAARGATGACTTTTAAGTGTGTCCAAACTACTGCACACCAACACTGGTGTCAAATACATTGGAAGTGAGAAATTAAGTAAATGAAGTGGAAGAAGCCAAGGACACTTTCAGATCCAGTCTGTGAGCCATACACTGGATGGTGTGGAGAAGAGAATAGGGAGAATGTTCTGCTCTCAAATGGCTTATCTGATTGGTCTGACTCATGAGGGTACTCTCCATAAGATTGATATGTTGTTTGTAGTTATTTCTGTGAAGTCCCCTCACCACACTATCAGATTAGTGTTTAACTGATGAAGCAGGAGATGGGATTCTTAGAGAGCAAGCAGTTCATCTTTAGAATTCTGTCTACTTGACATCATGTGATTAAATTATTGGGACTACTTTTCAGTAATATTATTATTCTTGATTTAGACAAATAAATTGAGGAATGGACAGGTGAAGCCACAAGTTCACAGAGCTTTAAGTGGGAAAACCAGGGTTTAAACTCATGAAGCCTCATTCCAGTGCTCACAGTCTTAATCTTTGCAATGTGTGCATGAAAAATGGCCAACATCCACTAGCAAGGGGACTGAGGAAGAGGAACACAGAAATGAACAGGAATGAGATGGAGATGGAAAACAGCTATAGCCAATGCCAAGTCTCATGCCAGGTGCATCTGTCATCTCACAGCATCCCCACAACTACTCTAGGAGGTGTTAACATTAAAATGTGAGTGAGTCCCAAGTCAGATTTATCTGAACATTAAGCACAGACCACTGTAACCTACTGTGGTGTTCTCCTCCCTTCTGTTGGAAGCCACCAGAATCCTCTAGCCCTTGATCTGTCTTAGCTCAGTCTCTGAGATCTCAATCTGCAAGAGGAGTTGGGACACCAAGACAGTGACCTACACCTTCCAGGTTGCTGGTGAGTGAAGTTCACTATCATGTCCATCTTACTCTTCTTTAATTATTTTTTAGTTATAGATGGATACAGTCGGCCGCCGGTTCCAGCTAGCCCTGAGTCTGTGCCGCGCCTCCCCTGCTAGGTTCCAGCAGACTCCCTCAAGATGCCGTCTCAAATGGAGCACGCCATGGAGACCATGATGTTCAAATTTCACAAGTTTGCCGGAGACAAAGGCTACCTGACCAAGGAGGACCTGAGAGTCCTCATGGAGAAGGAGTTCCCTGGGTTTTTGGAAGTAAGTGTTGAAGGGTTCAGAAAGAACCAGACCTAAAAGTCAGTACTTCCTTCTCCTTCCTCTTCCGTC